CGGGGAAGATGCGGCGCCTCTGGCTGGGCCTTCCGGGCTGCCTTGCCCTGCAAGTGCCCGGTTTACAAGCCTTACGAGGTGTGCAGGTGGCCCCTCCAGAGTCCTCAGGGGCCATTCACCTGGGTGAGGAGGGCCCAGGTCAGAGGGGCAGCAGCAGGGCCACCTGCTAGAGACCTGGCTCACAGAGCCTTAAGTGCTTAAAGGACAGTGCAGGCCACGGGCAGCTCTCCCTGTCCAGCCATGCCACAGTCCCTACAGTCCCTGACTCAGGCCTAGTGGGACCAGAGGCACTGAGGAGAGGTGCAGGAGGGGCTCGGGACCCAGGAAGTGTGTGCGTGCATGCAAATGCCCGTGCCCTTGTGTCTGGGGCTGAGTTTTCCTGTGCGAGCTCTGCTGTGGGCACATTTTCACCTACATGCAGCAGGGCAGGCACACGGGGTGACCAGTCAGGTAGCCGTGTGTGCAGCCGGAGCTTTGCAGCCGTCTCTGGCACTGAGGGTCCAGCCTTTCCCCCTGCAGAGCCTGGCTGTCTCCCTGCCCATGAGGCCCAATCTTTCCTTCACCCCGGGGGGGTGTCCCCTGAAGGTCTGGGGCATGTCGGGAGCACAGAGCACCTCTGCCCACGTGCAGCACGCCAGGCAGTCAGATGAAGGTGGGGCCTGCGGAGTGTGGGTGGCAGCAGGGCGGGGTGGCGGGGGAGGCGGCTGCGTTCTGATGGCTCTGCAGGCAGCAGGAGAGCAGAGGACAGAAGCCACAGCCCCACCTGACCACCAGTCCCAGCAGGCCTGATGGGATGTGTGTGGGCAGGGAGTGAGTGGTGGTCCGTGCCCGCCAAGGGGCCTCGGCCTGGGGGTGGGGCAGGAGCCATTGACCGTGTGGGTGTGCTAGAAGCCTGCAGTTTGGCCCAGATGCCTTGTCACCACACCGCCTGCCCTGCCCCTGGCTGCGTCCACTCGGCCTGAGTCAGGCCTGCCTCTGAGATGATCTGTATCCTGCAGTAGCACTCAGAGCCGCGGGGCCCAGCGACAGCCACACACTCAGAGAGGGCAGGGCAGCTGCGCTCTGCGCAGGAGCTGAGGAGCTGGTGCGTGGGGCAGACTGGGGAGCTTTGAGCTTCTCCGAGAATGGTGGCCTGGTGAGCATCAGAGCTGTGGGGCCGCAGCTGCAGGCCCTCACGGCCATCAGAGGAGGCAGAGCAGTGACCTGGTGTGAGCAGCCCTGCAGCCTGCGGATGCCTTCCCACTGCAGAGGCAGCTATTGTGTCCGCCCTGTGCAGCTCTGCCCCGCCATGACACTGCCTGGGCCACTCCTGAGAGGCAGAGCCTGATGTTCAGCTGACCGTGCTGGGCCCAGCCCGCCCTTCCCACAGCCTCCGTGGCCCCCTTTTCCTTTCCATCCAGGTTGCAGCAGCCTGGTCACAGAGTGCCAGCCAGGGTTAGCCTGTGCCCTTGGCGCCTTGCAGTCCTCACGCAGCTTTAGGAGCTGTGCCGTGCCGAGCGCCTCTCTCCTCCGCACCTTCCCCAGGCTGCCCGGTCTCCAGCCTTTGCCCTGCAGCCCATCTCCCCCACAGGCCCAGCTGAGGGCACAGGGTGGCTCTGGCGCTCCGTCCACTCGGCCCCAGGTGTCCAGCACCTAGTTTGTGAAGCACAGCTGTCCACGAGGACTGCGGGGCCCTCGGCCTGTGGTCAGGCACCCTGCCCTACCCTGTGGGGTGAGAGGATCACTGTAATGGTCTGAGACCTGAGGCACCCAAGTGCGAGGTGACTCAGAGAGAAGCGTCTGAGCGAGCGTGAGTTGAGGCACAGCCCAGGCCTGCTGCTGAGCATGGTGGCGCTGCCTCCTGGCAGTGCCCCGCAGGGCGTGTGTGTGACGCTGCCTGCCACCCTCATGTGTGTGCCCTAGCAGTGCGTAGGGGTTACTAACTGTGTGAGGGGCCTTCTCACTGGCCATTTGTGGCCGGCTTTGATTTCTGGTGGCGTTTGGGTTCTGAGAATAGACAGTGAAAAGACCTTTCTGTGGTCCTCTTGGGAATGTGGGTTTTTAGTCACAGAGGACAGCAGCAGCATAAGGGTTCTTTTTAGTGTGTCTGCCAGCCCAGCCGTGCAACTTGGAAGCGGGAGTGGGGATCTGGGCCTCCCTGGGCCCGAGGAAGCTGGCTGGGCACGGGTCCTCCAAGTCCCATTACTTTCCCTCAGGGTTACCCGCCTCAGTGCCAGCCACTGTGCCCCCTACAGCCCCCCACCCCTTAAGACTCTGTCCCTCCCTGGTTTGCTCAGAACTGCCTGCAGCCACCGTGTACCCAGGAGCCCTTGCCACGCCCTGGGGGCTCATGGAGCCCAGGGTTAGATCCCCAGGGATCCTGCCCCACCTCTGTCCCTGCCCTCCCCTGGCAGGGTCTGCTCGTCCCCTCCCGGGGGGCCCATCCTCCCAGAGCCACCACTCGCAGCAGGGGAGAGTGACAGGCACCCGCGGCTTCTCCCAGAGGCGACTGTGAGGCCTGACTGGCCTGAGAGCCGGCGGCATCTGCTGGGCTGGGCGGAGAGGAGAGGAGAGGAGAGGTTCACTTAGGGATCGCTCCCAGGTCAGGGAGCCCGACAGGGACACGAAGAGCTTCAAAGATGGGAGATAAAATCTGTGAATCACAGAGCTGTCTGGTAACTTCCCTAGTGGGAAGAAAGTGTTTAGGGAGCATTCCTGCCCTCTGAGTAGACGCCAGCAGCGGCAGCACATCTTCAGATAAGGCCTCAGCGTTTCCCCGCCCCTGCCCGCTGCGTCCTGGGCCAGTGGAGATGCGGCGCCCTGCGCGCCGGGCCTTGGTCCTGCCGAGGGCCGCCCGCCGCAGGCCCCGCTTCCGGAGTGGGGCTTCCCCTTCAGAGCTTCGTGTCAGTTTAAACCGAGCTGCGGGGTGCAGCCACAGCTCTGCAGAAGGCAGGAATAATAAAACCATGTCCTGTAAGTCAGAATGGAAGGAGAGCACTAGCAGCTTCCGCAGATGAAAACCATAATTCAGACACCGAGTGGACTTGTTTCCTTCCACTGCTGCCCAGCAAGGGCCGAGCCCCCGTGTCCCCAGCTGGTGTCAGGACGTGCCCCTGCAGACTGGTGGTTGGGAGTCACAAGAGCTCGTGGCTGACGGTGCTGGCCCTGGTGGCACAACTGTGGACGGGCTGCCTGCTGTCTTTGGATTGAGGTGCCCTGTCCATGCTGTTGTTGGCCTCAAGTTGCCCCGAAGCCAGTTGGACAGGTGTGCACCTTTTGCTTGCATAGCACGTGGAGAGGGAGGTCGAGGGCCCGGCCTGCCCCCAGACATGGAGCATGCTGGCCCTCTGTGCCGCCTGCCACCAAATTTATCTTTTCAAATTCACACATTCTGTGGCCAGTGGAGGCTGAAGGCTCGGTTGATGGTAGCCGTGAGACGCAGGCTGGCTGTCAGGGGGTCCCCATTGGCCTGTCTCTTGGCATCCAGCCAGGGGCATGGCCCCAGGTGTCTGCTTCAGAGTTGGCTCCTCCCCAGCCTCCTGGTCCCCTGGGAAGCAGGACTGTGACCCAGCACCCACTGGCCACCCCGAACAGGCCAGTGAGTAACTTCCTGAAAGACCAGAGCGTCGCCTGGGACAGCTCCACCCCAGCTCAGCCACACAGCAGCCACATCCCAGTGAGGGTTTCGGTGGGGACACCACAGCCCAACCACCTAGTCAGGTCTGTCATGGAACCTTCTCTTGATTTCCTTTGACACTTAAAAGTGCGGAAAGGTGTTCGTAGCCGTCCAGGATCCTGTCAGAAGCAGTTTCCCCCGAGTTTGCAGGCCCGGACAAGCAGTTTAGGTCAGGGTACACTTTGTGTGGACGCAAGCTTCTCCGAAGTAGTGCGTGTGCTCCGTGTGATGGGACACACAAATGTTGTTCAGAAGCCAGCTCGCCAGCACAGTGGCTCTGGGTTTTCGAGGCCTGTGCCAGCTGTGGCCTCCACTATAGATGCCTACAGGCTCTGCCCCGGGCCTGCTGCATGTGACTGCCGGGGTCCTCTGAAAAGTCCCCATGGCTCCCGGCAGACAGGCCTGCGACTGGCGGCTCGTCTCAGAGAGAGGCCCAGTCCTGCCTGCCTGGCTGCCCACCCTGTTCTGAGCCCCAGGTGGCCTCAAGGGCAGTGGCCTGGCCCTCGGGTCACTCCCAGCCCATCCAGAGGCCCCACTGTGCACTTTCCAGGGAAGGCAGGACAAAGGGAAGGTTCTGGCAGGGTGGAGACCGTGCCCCCAGCCAGCTGCTGCTCCCCGGTGGTGCCGGTCCTGCTGTCCTTGGCCGAGAGAGCGCTTGCTGGCATCTGCGGCCACGTGAGGTCTGTCTGTCTTGCTCCCAAGCCTGGCCTGAGCTGAGACGCGGACCTTCCCTTGATGCTGTGGCGGCGGCTCACTCCACGGCCCTGCTTATCCTGGGTAGTTGTTTCAGACCAGTGCCCCACCTAGCGTGTGGGTGTTACATGTGGCCGAGTTGCGCTGGCCCCAAAGCAGAGGTCATTCTGACCTGGGTGGTGGGAGGCACAGAGCCCAGAGGCTCGCAGGCCAGATGGACCACGAAAGCGAGGCTTCCATCTGCCCGCCCAAGAGAGGCGCAGAGGGTGCCCACCGGGGCCGAGCCCGCTGACCGAGGCCCGCGGTGCCCCCTCCCTCCCACTGCTGGCCTGCGGTCTGTCTGGCCCGCTGCTTCCTTTCTGGTCCCTTCCTCCCTCCTTCCTTTTTGTGCTCACTCATGGCCTCTCAGCGTCTCGAGCTGTAGCTCAGCAGGACTTGTTGTGCAGTTATGTCCAACGCCAGAAGCTTGCCTCTGGTGTGTGTCCTTCTACAGCCTGTGACCGCTAATTCTGTGAAAGTGGGCGTACCAGAGTGGGCAATGAATACCAACAAGAACGTCTCTCTTACCAGGCCCCTGTGGGCTGCTCGGGAGAGGGCTGTGTCTGGCGGCCCTCGGCCCACGCTGTGCCAACTGCTGGCTTTGTCCCTCTAGGTGCTGCAGGGAGCCCAGCTGATCGCCGTGGCCTCCTCGGACCCTGCTGCAGCTGGTGTGGACGGGTCATCTCTCCAGGGCAGTGACATCCAGGTGCAGTACGTCCAGCTGGCGCCTGTGAGTGAGCACACAGCCACTGCACAGGTGAGTCCCCAGCCACCTGGCAAGGCTGCCTACTGCACCTCTGTGCCCGCAGCTCCCGACTTCCCACTCTGGCTTCCTCCTGGGGGAGGCATCAACACAGAAGCCGGGCGCATGTTTGGGGATTCTGTCCTTGCAAGCTCTGAAAACGTGGAGGTGAGGAGCTGGATCCATGCCTGGCCTCAGGCAGGGACAGGTGTTGACAGGGATGTGTGCCAGCAGTGATGGCAATGCAGGAGGCTAGGACCCCACCCGGGCAGGCCCAGCACCTTCCGTGCACAGCTCCAGCCAGCGGATGGCAGCCTCCTCGGAGCTCCGGGAGCTCAGCCTTCCCGTGTGTCAGGAGCCTGCTCAGCACAGCCCAGCCCGAGCAAGCAGCGCTGGCTTCCCACACACCTCTGGCCTGGCTTCTGAGGTGTGGGGTGCACCCTGGTTCTGGGACACTGGGCGACTGCTGGCCCACATGTGTGGAATGACAGATTCTAGAGTTACGGTGCTTCTGGTTGCTGCAGGGGTGGCTGCCAAGTCCATCCTGGGAGGGCCAGGCGTGGTTACCTGTGCCTTGAGCTGTGTAGGGAAGCCTGCCGGACAGGCTGGGCGCAGCTCTGGCCTTGCTGGAGCATGGCAGCTTCCTGTGGCACAGGAGCCAAATGGGCAAGTGGCCTCTCCACCTTCCAAAGTGCAGCCAGCTTGGGCCATGCCCAGCTCTGCCCGCGGCTTGCCCTGCCCCCTGGCACATTCTAGCTGTGGTTGCGTCTACTCCAAGCCTCTTTGTGGCCCACACTGATCACCTGCATCTCTCAGCCACTGGCCAGGGGTACGGGACGGAAGCCCCAGACTTGCTGCTAAGGCTCCGTGCGGGGTGTGCTCCCAAGCCTGGGGAAGGCAGGAGCCCCTCAGGATGCTGCTGAGGAGGCGGCCTGAGATCCCCAGCTGACCAGGTGCCAGAGTGGGTGGTCCTGGAGCTTGTGAGCCCAGGCTGTGGTGGCTCAGAGCTTGACCTCTCTCCTATCCTGCCAGTACCTCCCTCTATGTGAGGAGGTGGTACGTGGGTGTCCTCGGGCAGACGGAAGTGTGGCTTAGTGTTTGGGGTTGTTGGGCCCAGCCCTCTCTGGGACTTGTGCTTTGGTGGCTCCCTGGCCTCTCCCGCCTCTTCCTGTGTGGACACCGTGGCTGGCTGTGTACAGGACCAGTCACGCTCCTTTCACTGGTCCTTGAAGGACGCTATGACCATGTCTTTCCAGTGTCTGCAAGTCACTGGCCACACCCAGGTCTGCAAGGGCGACAGGCAGGCAGCAGGTCCTGAAGTGCTTATCTATGACCCGGGGCAGTGTTGCAGGGTGGCAGCGTCTGGGTCAGGGTGGGGGTTGAGCACGTGAGGTCAGCCCGTCCTGCGTCCTCCCTGACCCACCCTGGGTGAGGTAAGGGTCGGCAGCACTGAGGGGTAGGATGTAGCCAGCCGAGACTGAGCCCTGGCCAAGCACTGTGGGCGTGTGGGGGGCACTTACTCCTGAGCCCAGAGGTCCTCAGAGCCGCCCACACGCCTCTGTGTGTGTGTGTGTGTGTGTGTGTGTGTGTGTGTGTGTGTGTGTGTGTGTGCGCGGGCACGTGTGTGTGTGCTTGTGCGTACATGTGTGTTCCACTTGGCCGCTTGGAGCAGGCAGTGGCCTGGAGGTGCACTGGGGCTGGTTTCTCCAGAAAGGCCCTCCGGTGTCCGCTCTTGCAGACAGCTGAGACCCTGCAGCCCACCCTGCAGCCCGAGATGCAGCTGGAGCACGGGGCCATCCAGATCCAATGAGGCAGGGTGGCCGCGCCCCAGGACTGTGCCGTGCCAGCGGGCCCAGTTGACAACCTGGTCTCCACGTGCCCAGCTCTCAAAGCCGGCTGGGGGCAGCTGTGCAGATCCTGCTGCCATGCGTCTGAAAGCCGCCTCCACCACCGGGACCGCGTCCCTGCCGCCCCTGCAGGGAGAGCCCTTCGGTCTGAGCCACGCCGACAGCGTCTTCAGGGGAATCGGCGCGGAGCGTATAAAGTACACTCAAATCAAGAACTACAATATTTTGTTTAAACAGCTTTTTTTAATTTGCTATGGTGTTTGTAACAAAAAAGAAAACCGAAAAAAAAACTGGAGTAGCAGAAGCCTTTTGCTGTTGTGCTCTGTTCAGTGTCATGAAAGCAGGTGTTTGCGAGAGAAAGCTGATGATTTTGACGGAAATATTGCTCACCTACTTTTCTAGGGGACACGCCCCGCACACTGTAATTATGCATTTCTAATGAAATAAACTGTATTTATGACCACGACCGCCTCTGTGCTGTTTTGTCTTGAGAGACGTTTTGTCTGGGGTACCCCTGCTCCTGGGCCACAGTGTTCAGGGGTCACTGCTCGGGCCCCTCTGGGGACAGTCACTGCCTCAGGGTTGAGGGGGCACTGGAGCACAAAGCTGGGTTCGTGCGGTCCGGGAGGAGCAGGGCAGGGTTCTCATAGGGGAGTCTGGTCCAGCAGGGCCTCAGCCTCACGGCATCCCACAGCAGGGAGGCGGCTGCATGGCCGGGCGAGAGATGGTTTGAAACACACGGGGCCATCAGCACTGGCCCGCCTCTGCCCACACTGTTTGGCAGTTGCATCTGTGGGGCTTCGTGGATGGCAGAGGTGCTCATCACTTTTTCTGGGGCATTCAGAGTGGCCGCTGGAATCACTGTGCCTCTGCCCTGCCCCACCTATTGGGGTGTTGGCTTAAGAAGGTGAGCGTTCAGTATAGAGATGACCTCGGGGGCCTGCAGCCAGGTGGGAAAAATCAAGAAGCACCACCCTGCCCCTGCCCCCTCGAGCAACCAGCAGAAGGCAGGCGGAGATCAGCCACTGAATTAAAGTAAGAACTCAGTGCTTGTGTTGTTTGATTGACTTTGCAGACCTAAGGCTCGTAGTCTGAGCAGCTGTTTAGAGGCTGACAGTATGCAGTATAGTGACTAGCGTGAGTTTCCTGCTGTTTTTGTTTTTTATTTTTTGGGGATCAAACTCACAATCTTGAGCTTGCCAGGCAGGCGTTTATAACGCTGAGCTGTCCCCAGCCCCTGTTCTGTTTTTACCGATGTTCATCACTCATTGTTTATCCACTTTCAAATAAAAAAAAAAAAAAAAGTTGTCCTATATAAAAAAAGGAGGTCGGAGCTGGAGATTCGATCCCTGGTACCAAAAAATAACACCAAAAAACAAAAAAAAGAACAGAACGGAATAAAAAAAGATCAAAGAAGAACAAAAAAAGAAATGATATCTCGGTTCTTAAAGAAATTGAGTGATGTTTGAAGAAACAAGTTAAGTGTTTACTTGCTGAAGACATTTCCTGTAGGGGAAGCAGGAATTTGCAGGGAGAACACAGACCCAGGAGTCCTTGGGGCACGAAGCGGGCATCGGAGAGTAGAAACTGAGGTAGGCCAAGCCGCTGTGGAAAATGGAACAGGAGAGAGGGACGGTCCAGGAGAGAGGCGGCCGGCCGGGCAGCTCTTGCTGCCCCGGAGACAAAGGCGCACAGCACCAGGTGTTAAGACTGAGTGACACCTGCGGCGCGGCCCCAGGGCTCCTCTGGTGGTCACCAAGGGCCCCCCAGTCCCCGGAGCGCGGCTCCCCAGCCACGCGGGACACTCGTGTGGCCTGAAGCCCTCCGCCTAAGGGGGTTCAGGGAAACTGACGAAAGAGTAGATCGCTGGGTGTCTAGAAACTTACACACTCTGAATGCATACGTCAAATAAAAAATACAACTGACACCTGAAGGTATTTTTAATCAAATGACAAATCTACGTATCAAAAATAGTGGGTTACGTCGAGTGCTTAGAGAAAAATATAAATGCAAGCAGAAATGAAACAGAACAAACGGAGAGTAAACGTGACCCACAGAAGCTGTCTTAGGTGCTTCTCTCCCAACATCCGCAGTGCAAGGCAGAGGATTTCAGCCCACGCAGCTCCCAGAGGTCCGTGGGCGGCGGGCTCCGAGGAGAGGGGCCGGGCAGGGAGAACCAGGCAGAAGACGGCACGCCACCTTCCCTCCCTGCTCATCCCGGCCAGGCGGTGCGCCTCTGACAGGTGCCACCCAGCCCCGGCTGGCCCCGGCACCCACACCTGTCCCGGCATCACACCCGTCACACGCCCTCATTCGCTCGCGTCCAACGCTACCCACCTCGGAGCACAGAGACTGCTCAGGAACATCTGGGAGGACCCGAGTTGGCTCTTTGGAAAGGTTAACTCAGCGGCCAGAGCCACAGCACAGCCAGTCCGGGAGGGAGCAGGCGGATTGCAGTGGCAGACGCGCTGTGGCCGAGCCCACGCCAGTGCTGGGCTGGAGGGGGCCAGGGGAAAAGGCGTCCCCACGGCCGGCTTCAGGGAGCAGTGGACCATCCTAGCGCCTGTCTTCTTGTCTCGGAGAGATGAGCCAGCCCCGCCCTGGTAAGTGCTTCCAAACGCATAGGGGAGGATGGCCAGCGGCTTTCACAAGCCCCTGCAGAGCACAGCTCGTTTCCCCCACAGCCTGGCAGGACATTTCGGGGGGCAGGCAGGGTGAAGAGCAAGGAGAGAAGGTGACAGCAGTGGCACACCTGTGCCACGGTGGGCACCCAGCACTCAAGCCAAGTTGTGCCAGCATGGTCCCAGCAGCTGAGCGTTTGGGTTTAATTGAAATGTTGGCTCTCTGTGATAAAGAAGTGAGGTTGGGGTTGCAGTTTGGGCACTCAATCTCTAAAAGGTTCGCCGTCACAGTACTAAGTGATCACACGACTGGGTTGGGTTGGGCCCAGGAACACAAGATTGATGTAGCCCTGAAGGAATCAGTCAGCGAACCTCGCCGCATTAACCAGACCGTATAGGTCTCCCAAGAGATGCGAACAGTAATTTGTAAAATCCACCTATGCAGGATTAAGAGACCTGTTAGCAAGCGAGGAGGAGGAGGCTCTTCCCCCGAGTGCCAGGGTGCAGCAGCCCAGCTTCCGTTCCCGTGCTGAGAGGTGGCAGGCGGGAGGCCCAGCAGTACCCGCCTGCAGGCTGCTGCGGCAAGGCGGCAAACGGGCAGCCTGGAGGGCGGGGAGACTCGGCATTTGCAGGTGCGGCGGGTGTTCTGGAAGGAAGCCTGCCGCTGCCCCGGGGCGTCCGCGCACACTGGCGGGCGCTGGCTGTGAGCCCAGCACCCAGCCCCATCATTTATAAATGCCATTGGTCATGGACTCTAGGAACCTCAGGTGTGGGGACAGATCTGCAGAAGACATCTGGGGTGCACGTTGAGAAAAGAGAAGCTGAGAAATGGAGGGGCGTGGCTGGGTCAGGAGTTGAGAGTCCCTGGGGTGGGGTGGCGGTGCCATGCAGTCCCGGGAGGGCCCAGCGGAACTGCCGTGGCAGCACCCTTGCGGGTCCTGGGCTGAACCAGGGCAAGGCTGCAGGGCAGTACGGAGCTCTGGTGCCTCTGGAAGGCGGGCGGGGTGCGGTGAGGGTGGAGCAGGAGGAGAGCCCGAGGCAGCACCCATCAGGAGGGCGTTGGGGTCGAGGTTCAGGGACACAATCCCGTGACGGGGCTGCAGAAGCCCTGCGTGGAGCCGAGCCTGGCGGGAGTGCTCTGACCTGGCACGGGCGACGACACCATCAGCCAGACGCAGGTGGAGACCGAGTTTCCTTTCCTCCAAAGATACCACCCGAGCCGGAAGAACCCAGGCATGGAGAAGGTTTGGTAGGTGCCTCGCCCTCAGCCAAGAGGGGGCTTTCGGGGGCCTGCCACAAGGACCCGCGGGCGGCAGGGCACCCTGGAAGCTGCCAGGGCAGGAGCTGGGCAAAGGAGGTGTGGGAAGAAACCAACGGGCTGCCCGAGTTTTGGGGTATTGCCCAGCCATTGCTGTGGGGATTTGGGGTTCCACCAGATCAGTAATGGCTATGGGGTCTGCTGAGGGCACTGGCACCAAGGCCTGGTGATGCCCAGCGGGTCCCTGGGCACCCAGCCAGCGAGGGCGGAAAGTGGCAGGCCTGGCCCTGCAGCCTAAGGTCACCACAGGCCAGGCGGTCGGTGTGGAGACCGGAGCAGGCTCACACCAGAGCCATCACAGCTGATGGAAGCGGGGCGGGGAGGACATGGCTGCCGCAGAGGGCGGCACTTCACATGTGGACCTGGGCATCAGCACTTCGGCTGGTGCCCCTCAGTTTTAAGGGTGTTAGAAGCACCCCAAGGACAGGAGCTGGCCAGGGCTGTGCTGCTGACAGGCAGCCGAAGAGGAGCAGCAGGAGTGGGAGCCGCGTGAGGCCATAGCGTCAGGTATCTGGTGTGCAGCCCAGCAGGGGCAGCGGGGTGCCACCCACAGCCCTACAGCCCAGGATGGGGCAGGCAGGCCCACCGGCCTCTGCGCTGTGAGCTAGGTTCTGGAAGCACCCGTGCAGGGTGCCTCAGGGCTGCCCCTCAGCTCACATCAGCTGTCATAGTCCCGGACTGACCATGTCCCTCGCTGCCCGGTGGAAGACAGCACTGATGCACTGATCCCTGCAGGAGGGAGATGATACCTGACTACATCCATGAGCAGTTTGGCAAACGGTGTCCAGCAAGCAGTGCTAATCCTGCGTGCAAGGACCCAGCACGGAAGACCTCGGGCAGCAGCATAGGGCCCGCTGTCCGGCAGCCTATGTGGAGTCAGCCCACACCGGCTTCAGCAGGCGCCCGACAGATTCAGCAGTGAGCTGGCGACTTCCGAATAGCCCCCACGGGGCTTCCACCGCTAAGAGGCAGGAGCTCAGAACCAAAAGCCAGTTCGAGGTCCAACAGCAGACTGCCCACGTCCGAGCAGTGACCGGAAATGAGCTAGCACGGCGGGACATGCCCAGGATGAAGTCATCCCTTTGGTCCACAAACCACCAGGAAATGTGGGCAAGCAGGACACCTCCTCCTCTTTCAGGGGTTGGCAGCTCATCAGCCTCGAAGGCTGAGCTCGGAAATCATAGTGATCTTACAGGAAATTCAGACTGGAGTGTCCGTCCGCACACCAGGTCCCACAGCACCCAGACCCCATTGTCCAGTGGGCTGTGTCCAGTGGGAGAGGTGCACAGGTGTTCAGTCCTCCCGAGCATCACCAGTAATGATCATAATTAAGTAGTGCAGGGTCCGCCCTGCTGGATTTTCATCACGATCACCTTGCTGTGATCTGCAGGCACCTCTGGGGGTGATAGCATGTTGACAGGTCAGTGTGTCACAGCACGGGCAGGGCAGCATTTGACAAGATTCAGCCTCTGCATAGGATGTCAGGAAGGACAGACCGGAAGTCCAGGGCCCCGAACCTGCAGC